CTGCCCACTGGCAGCACTGGGGGGTCTCTAGTGACCCCGCTAGCATTAAAGTGCAGTGGGGGACTCACACTGAACCTCACTCTCCGGCTGATCTCTCTAAATCTGTGCACCCTGCCAGCTTTCCAAGGGCAAGGAGAATGGTTAAGCTCAATCTGAAATGCCAGCATCTTAACAAGACCTTATGAAAGATCGAGGGGAGGCGATGACCAGGAAGCAGACCCTCAGCTGCTCCGAGCGCAGGCATGCACAGCAAACGACCGTTCTGGGTCGACTCGTGATGCCGGGCCGGGCCGGCTCAGAGGGCATGCACGGTGTGCTGCTCAGAATGAAAACCGTTTTAATTGCTCCTGTGGTGATAATGGTCAGCATCCAGGCGAAATCTGCCACTACATTTTATTAATTCTGGCAGTTCCTGTCTTTTGAAAAATGCAGTTAAAAAAAGACTACACATATATTAACATCATTTAATTCAAAAAAAGGTACTATTTAAAAATGACAGGCTGATTTTAGTGAACTACTATTCACATTCAGCATATTCACTTCTTTGCTTAGCTGACAGTTTCACCTGTGTATACAGCTGGGTATTTTACCAGAGGGATTGAAGTGAAGTACCCTGCCTGGGGGAACAAGTTCTAAGGCTCAGACTGACAACCAGGTTACGGTTCCACCTCCTAGGTAACCTCTGTGCTGCCTGCTACCTGCCATGCGATGCTGCCAGCTCAGCTCACTGCCACTTTGTCATTGCTGATGGCTGACACATCCTTATCCCTTAAGGCTCAACACCTGGACCGGCGCTGGCCATTAAGACAATGCGCTGCGTGTTTCGGGCCTCGGACTTCCAGTCGTGCTTCTTGTGGAACGCCCCGCGAAAGAGTTTCCTCTGAAGAGGAGGTCAGGATGACCCTCCGATTTTATCCATGTCTGTAAAACCCTCGCATTTCAAAGCCCATGTGTCCCTTAACCCGCTACTGCACTCCTATGAGATCCAGGCAGGAAACATACTCACGTCACTCACTGCACGTGCTCAGTCTGTGCGGCGTGGGGGTGCTACGTTTTAATGTTTCATTCTGCAGTTATCTCCACTGCATCATTGCCACATTCCACAGTCCCGCGGGGTCAGGACTATCCCTCAATTTGCAAATGCCCCCCCTATTGCACAGGATAGGCTCTGGGCTGCATGCAGCCCCACCCTCAGCGGCTCTCGGGGCCCCGAAATGGAAAGGGTACAGATCGATCCACCGTACCGAGACACGCCCACTGCTGCGAGTCCGCATCCCCGCCAGCGATGAGCCTGATCTGGAAAAGCATCGTTCGTGTTTTCAGCGACCAGTGGGGGTTGGGGGGGGGGAGGCGGTGAGGCACGGTGCCGTGCAGGGGAACGGGTCTGCTTTCAGAGCATTTTTCAGCCTGACCCACTTTCTGTGCCTGGCCAGGCTTCAGCTGCCACTGCTGAGGGGGGATCCCAGCAGATTTCAAACCCCCTACCCCCCCCCCCCCCCTCCCCACCAAAAAGACTGCAGCATCTCCTGACAGACAAGAACAGTGGCATCTTATCCCCCTGTGCATTCAGCGCCCCCACATACACACACGCGCACACGCATACACATGCACACCCATCCTCAGTCAGGCACATACCCCCCATCCGCAGTACAGTCCCCTTCTTTTCTCGCCCCTCCCCCCCGGTTCGTCTCTGAGCCGCTGTCTCAATCTCGCCTGCATCAGGCGGCTCGGAAAGTTATAAATTAAACATAAATGCAAATACGCCTCAACATTGTTCTTCCCTCCAGTTCAAACAGAGCCGAGCTTTTGGGGATTAAGTCAAGGACACTGAAGTTTATTGATGAGTGGCGTGGAAATGAGAGTCACTGGGTCACTGAGTCGCACGCAGAGAAGCACGTTCATTTGTCTGGGGCGCTGTGATGAGAGCGTTCAAGACCCAAGCTGGGACGTCCCCATTAGAGCAAAGCCCAGATTTGAGCTACGTGAACCATACCTCGGCAAGGCTGCCATTGTTAAGCATTTAACTGTAATCACTTGGGTATTGCTTCCATATGTATTCTGATGAGTCACAATTTAAAAAAAAAGAAAAGAATTTAGCTATAAATCAGAACCCTTGGCAAGGTGTTTCCCCGTCACAGAGTCCAACTTGTCTTTCAAGTCCATCTGCTGTTAGTACTATGCCGCTCAAATGAGGCACTTAAGGAGAACAATAATGACAAAACAGATATTTCGTTGGCTTTACTGCTGAGATAACGACCTGCGCTCTATCACGCAAGGCCACGTGCTCCTGGTTTCAATGAGGAATAATGGATATTATTCCTGGGCATCTTCACCTGCCTCACGTTTCCCTTTGAACACCAGGAAATCAAAGGATCGCCGTATCTCCCGTGCCTTTGGGGTAAGTCAGCTGGCTGACAGCGGACAGAGATCCGGTCGGCCATGCCGGCTTGGATTGCAGCCGTTGTTGTTGTATTTATGCCCGTCCGCCAGATTCGTCTACAGAGGAAGTATCTGTTGACTGTTATTTCTGTTTTGTTTTGTTTTTTTCTTCCAATGTCTCACATTCTCTGCATCTGAATGCCGCACATTTTCATCGCTCGCCAACTGTGCCATTCTTCCTGGGGCAGCTCAGAAGGCGAGGCATGTGCATGTGAATTATGTTTGAAATAAATATCAGATTTATCACTATATTTTTGGGAATGGTTTGTTATTCTGAATTTGTTCGACGGAGGCCCACAGGAGAATGAACCATGTTTATGTAAAATATTTCTGACACAAAGTACCTCTTCTGTGGCACCTGCTGAGAGGAGAGACCGACGACTTAGCGAGCGGCCGCTAAACTGGCTTTCCTCTGAGGGTTCCTGTTGCAGCGCAGGGGCCTTGGGCTCTGTTGTCTCTCCTCAGGCGCGTCAAGCAGATCCCAGATCTGAGAGGGAGGGGTGTGGGCACTCGCTTCCCTGTCAGTCACTGCACACAGCCTGGAATCCCTGGTCCACTTGGCAATGTAGGAGAATTACGAAAACAAAACACTTCAGCCCAGTCTCCAGTCATGAAAGATATGATTACAACAGATTTGCGGAACTTCTCGGATCGACAGAATTGGGCATATGGTGATTTCCAAAAGAAATATCTGAGTTGCACGTAATTCAAATTCTGTGGATTATTTTTGTGCAAACATAGTCTTCTGTAATTCATATATCTGTAAGTAAATATGAGCATTTTTATTTGCGATTGTACTCTGTACAAAACGTTATTTTTAAAATATTGTTTTGTCGCATACCAAAAGACAGCGCTAATATTTCACACAATATAAATTGTAATTTGCTGCATTTTGCCTGCAAGAGAACACCTATTTTTGTTCTGTGTAATTCATACTTTGTCCACCAGGGGTCCTTTTCCACCCCTCCTGATCTTAATGACAGCTGACAACCAAGAAGTGAAGAAATTTTCGCTCTCAGCATTTGTCAACTGCATTTCCATGAAGTTTCTTGACGTCTTTTCCTCATACTTTAGTTCAATCCCAATCCCTTATATTTTCTCACAACACATTTTCAATAAATAAACATCGAACGATGTCAATTTTAACTTCAGATATTTAACTTTCAATTCACAATCATACATTGCGCCTCCTGAAACTTTCGGTGACCTTGTTCTCTTCTTACGGATTTCTTTGGTATATCCACCTAATTGACTGATGTCTGAACAGATGTAAACATGGTAGGAAATTATTCGTGTAAACTATAGATATAAAAAGACCTTTCAGATGTCAATAATTATAACATAGTATCGGTGTCAGTAATTCACACTTACGGCCTATCTCTGGTCGATTTTTATTGGTTGCCCCCTAGTGCTGATCAAATTTTACGTCAACTATGATTTGCAGATTATCTCTTCTGTGCAAAGAAATCTTAAAGCTGTTCAGATGGCGCTTTTGCACGCAATTGTAGCAAAATCCAGTATATCAGAATAATCCGACTGTGGGCTACATTTGTCGAATTCATTGGACTTCGTACGGTACTATAGGTTAAAAAATATATAAGAACAAAAGAAATGTTTTACTTCAGAATGACGTCACTAATGCGCTTTGCATCTTCCTTACAATATTTTTGTGGTTAACTTATTAAGTAAAATGGAAGTCGAAAATAAGCTCATTTTGGAGCCTGGCATGCATCTTACAAGCCAGCAGAGCAAACCAGGGAGGGGTAATATTAATTTGCCGGTTTTTTTCCCTGCAATGTGTCTCTTTAAGTGGGAGTTCTGAGCGCAAACAGAGGGGCGTGGGCGGAACGGCGAATAGGCAGCAAACGGAGAATGTGCCTTTAACTGGGAAAGCTGCTGATTAAAAAGGGGCCGCGGCGGACGTTCACTGTCATTCCGCTACCCTGTACCCGCTGGAAAAAAACAAGAAATGCCCACAGACAAATTCCTCTCGGCTGGAGAACTGTAGATTACTGAGGTTACTAGGTACTTATTTTGTGCAGCTAGCTATATATTAGGCGAATATCCTGTGATTGCGTGTGAATCTGTCTGACTCGCAGAGCAGCAGAAAACTGGACTGAGCCTCGAGGGAAAAACGAAATCCCGAAGTAGATTCCCGGACTACACTTTCAATGGAAGAATCGGATGATACCCATTTTACATACTAACCAAAATATTGCCCATGATTCATTAAAAGCCACTGACCACGAAAATATACACGCCGACATAAAATATTTTCTATATTCCTATTAACATTGATCGTGCTTTAAGCGTCTGCTGAATTAATTTATTCACAGACTTGTCGATGTGTGTCTCAAGAAAGCCCATCTGACACCGACCGGTACTAATGACATTGCAAGTACGAATGCAGAAAAGACGATCACTTTGCAAACGATTAATTTTAAAAATAAAAACTGCTACTCTCCGTGTCTGATTATAGGGTAGCATCTACCCGGACGTGCTGTCTGTGTCTAAGGATCACTCAGGTTAGGGCCACGTGGCTGGCCGAGACTCAAAATTATGATTCTCGCAACGTTGACTTTTAACGGGGCTCTACGTGCTACGGCTCCAGTACTGGCTGATCCGCGCCGATACTCCGGTCCGCGTTTTCCGTCAGCAGCGCAGGAGAAGCGGATAATAGCTTTTGGAGCTCCGTCTCTCGCATGCCATGCTCGGCCAGAGAGGCTCCGGGAGACATGCATTTACCAATATCCGGGTTAGAGAGGAAAGGGGGAAAAAAGTTTCATTTAAACCTGGAGTAAAACTTTCAATATGAAATCAAATTAACGCTATCACGGCCGTCGTTGTCGGCGAGGCTTTCCACCTCGGACTGCAGTCGGTAGCCTGTTTAATGGTTACGGCGGATCGGTTTATTATTTCTTTATAGGTGTTTTACTCGTTCTGTGTTTTTTCCCCGTCGTTCTCAGTTTTGTCGGCTTTCTGAGGTTAGCTGGTGGGCTTATGGTACTACCCTGAAATGTTGAAGCGATAATGGCCGCGCAAGTGGCATCGGCTCCGGCAACGACCAGTAATAAAAAACCAAATTTATCGAGTACTTTGAATCAAGATTTAAACTCCGGGAAGCCCGTAGGAGGAACGGCACAGGGATCCGGAGCCATGCTTGGAGCAGGAGATGGGACTCACGCTATGAATAATGTAGATCACCATCACCATAATGAACTGAACATGGCCAACGCGACTTGCGCCTCTTCTGCCGGCGGCAACTCCGATACCCGAGAGAAAGAGGATGGAAACAGCCCCTCATCCGCACCGTCCTCGAATCCGACCGCCGCTCCGGCCATGGAGACGGGTTTGATATCAAATCATAAACTGAAAATTGTCGGTGGCGGAGATCCTCCTCCTCCGTCTCACCATCACACGCCGCCGCAGCCGCCGCCGCAGCAGCAACAATTTAATCAATTTCAGCAGCAGCAGCACCAGCGTCAGATACAAAGTAACAACATCAACAACAACGGCGGCGGCAGCCTGGCGCCGGCTCAGGGGGACGCTGACAGTCGGCAACATGGTGGTAAGGACACCGTTTTGGGAAACCAGGTCGAGCAGCAGATGCTGAATAAAAGTGAGGAGGACCATCCGTTCAAAGCGGGGGACCAGATGGGCAGCAGGTACGAGCACGACAGCCTTGGAGCAACGAGCGGCAGCAACAGCATAAGCAATCCGCCCCAGAGTGCCAGGGGGAACGGCACTGCTTCGGAGTTTAATCATTATTACGGCAATGCTAGAGTAGGGCCCTGCTTTGATCAACATGGCGGACAACAAAGCCCCGGGTTGGGGATAATGCATTCGTCGGCCCCCAGCAGCATGGATCCGGCGCAAAACTCCCACGACGGCTACCACAACAACCAGTACAACCACTATGCCAGCTATAGAGCGGGCTACGGCGGCGGAGGCTATGGTATGATGAGCTCCTCCAGACAGGGCAACAACATGCTGATGGGCCCGGGTAGCGGCGCTGCTGCCGCTGCCGGCCACGGTAAGGCTTCCATGGCCCCTGCTTCTGGCAGCAACGTCGGGGGCTTCCAGAGGTTCCCCGGGCAGAATCAGCACCCCTCCGGCGCCACCCCGACTCTCAACCAGCTCTTGACGTCCCCCAGTCCCATGATGCGCGGCTATGGCAGCGGCTATCAGGACTACGGCAGCCCAACGGCGCAGCAGCAGTCGGGCATGGGGCTGAGCAAAGACATGGGCTCCCAGTACGGGTCCACAGCGCACGGCTGGGGGGGACAACAAAGAAATCACCCCGCCATGAGTCCGGGAAGCAGCGGGCAAGGCATCAGCAGACCCCAAGTGAGTAACTCCGGCACAAGTTGGCGGTTATTAAAATGTATTTTCAGCGACCGGATAGGCGAAGGTAGTTAGCGGGGAAGCTAGCTCCGCTGAAGGTCCCTGTCCGAGCGTGTGTCCGCGGACCGGACCAAACTTCTCTGGAGTTTGGGTTAAATGATGATTTTGGTTGAAAATAAGGCCCAGCTAGTTTTATTTTTAAGTTACGTTGCCTTTTTTTTTCTTTGAGTGTCGTTTCTGTCGAAGGTGAAGTTGCTAACTACGGGACTTCGAGTTCTGCTCAAGGTGACTTGCAGAGTGGAAAAGGAGAAGCCCGACATGTCGCGTAATTGTGCCAATATGTCACCAGTTTTGCTAGTTCAGGCCGATTTGGACTCATCTGCCTTCGTGTCCCTTATTAATGTTCGTCCTTTTAGCTGTGGAACATTCTCGCATCTCGACTGCAGTGAACTACAGCTGCGGCGGTAAAACGCGACGTAATGAATATTCATCGCGTCTCGTTTCTACCTTTTCCTTTTAAAATGTTTATTTGTTGGAAATTAACCGAACGGTGCTCGTTTGTACTTTTAAAAACGTGTATGAAAAGTGTTTTTCAGAACGGCTGGAGGCTCGCTTTAGTGTCGACGTGATTGTGGACACGTTTTGGCCGGGGCGTGTGGTTAATTCATCACTTATGTACGCTGGGTAGATCCGAAATATTTTAATAGATCTTGTCTTCTGACAAGTATCGGACACTGAGGGTACGTGCTACCGATAGCCGGTACCTTGACGGCTAGGTGAGACTGGGGAGCTGGAGCGCTGCGCGCCGAAGGCGTGCCGGCTTTGGCCCCCGGCTGCCTAAGCTGGGAAAGTGACTCGATCCCCTTCGCGAGGGTTTGGAATTTGAATTGTGGAGGTAAAAGCGGCCGTAACCGTCTCCAGACAGCTGCCTCCTAGTTGACATGTTACCCGCCACCTGATTGGCTCTCCTTCTCCCCGCCGGGCGACTTAACTCGGCGGACGTAAATAGATGCTGCTCTGCCCCGCGCTTGTCCGCGAGCTCGGAGGGTGAGATTGATCTCGCGCTTGATTGATTGGCGCTCGCGTGCCCCGTGCACTAGTGGCTTTTTGTCTAGGCATCTTTTTTATTATTATTTTGGAGCAGTCCCCCAAAACATTGCATGAATATATCAGGCTCTAGAGCTGTTCCTGAAACGTTATTATTATTAACCTGAATATGTATTATTAATGTAAGTTTTTACAATTAAGGCAGTGTCGGTATAATAATGATGATTTAAAAAAAAAAAAAAAAAACTAGCAGTATTTGACTAACAAACTGTCTGATCGACCGCAGTGATTGCTCTGTGTGTATGTGCAGGGGGGCACTAATTATGTAGTAATTTAACCAACGTAGGGTCTCCACAGAAATAATTTTGGATTGATTGCAGCTGTTTAACCCGACTCATGTTGCTTCCAACAGTGCTAATATTAAAAAAAAAATAAAAATGTTTTCTTTAATTTGTTTTTAAATTTCCTCTGAGTTGGCACTCAAAATATAAACATAGCTACTGGGTCGGTGCTGGTTTATTGTTATTTTTCATTAATAAAGACAAATGGCTTTGGTTTGTTTTCACTGATGAATACAGTGCAATGAAAGTGTTTTGCTGAAGGAAACGTACTATGAAAGCTATGTTATTGCCAACAAGCTGTCTCTTTGCATCAAGGACTGAAATGAGACTTTGTAACAGTTGTGTGGTTTGAGTATATGGATGAATGTGTCAGGTCTCCCATTTAAAACCTGCCAGTTTGTGTCGTCTTTTTGATTATTGATTATAGAGTTTGAGGTTAACTCGTTTTTAAGGCATTGAACATATTAGCTTTTGGTATTTGTGGTTTGATTAACTTGCAGTTAATTTTACAATAATATTTTCTCTCTTGTAAGATGTGCAGACTTGATCCATGTAATGGTCCTGGATTTAGAAGTATATCCATTTTGGATATTGGTTGTCTGTTTTTGGAGGGGAAATGTATTAAAAAATAGTGTAAGTGTCAGCTGACTTATTTTCAGTCCAAACTTGATAAGCCATTTTTATATGCACAGTCTTAATTTGTTTGATTCAGATAATTCAGACTAGTTAGAAAGATGAGTGAATTTATTTTATTGGTGTCAGAGTAATTCTGGAGATGCACTGAAGATCCTCGATGGAAATTAATTTAGGTGTGTGTGTGAACAGAGGACGGTCATGTGAGCAGTCTATCATTTCCCACGCCATTCCTTAACTTTATCTCCCTGTAGACAGTAAATGCAAATAACAGGCCTTGCTTAGAAAAGTTACTATCATGGTTTACTGCAGACTGCTGTTTGTAGAAAAAATAGCATGCTCAGCTGTAATAATAGCTGAAAATCAAAATTTTTAATGTCAAAACATTGATGTCATCTACTGCGTTACACATGCAGTGTGGTAAGCGACATTGACCTTGGGTGGAACGAGTGAAGGGGAGTTGTGTGGTGTTTACCATTCATGAAAAGCAGTTAACAATTCCAGGCCATCATATGAGACACTCAATATTTTATCATCTACTTTATCTTGATCTACAGTATCTACCTGGATTAACTTCATCAGTCTTTGTCTTAAGGAGAAACCCCTTTCTGCTGAAATGTTTGGTTATTCGCGGAACTGGTGAGTGAATTTTATTGCCTCACCAACCAGTTACAACCAGCTAATATATAGTTCTTGGTGGTCTAAGATCTGTGTAAATATTCCGTTGACTTGCAGTTGGATGGCTTCAGTGAAGTCTCTCTCTCTATTCCAACGTGGAGAAAATGTGCCGCTGCTAGGTCTGCTCCCTAGTGTCAAAATAGTAGCCTCCACGCCGTTTGGTTCTGGTGGGCTGTTTGCAAAGACGTTGAGTGCTACAAACGTAATTTTAGCACTTAGGGTCAGAGGGAGGGTGACGCCTTACAATACCGATCAGTATCATTTAAATGTTTGTCACCTGATCCCTTTGAGTGATGATCCCGGCCGGTTAAGTTTCATTTACACCTGCTGCGTTGGTTAGTAGCAACCCGGTGAATTAAAAAAGAGAACGCTCCATTGTTATTGACGAATGTGGCCGGGCATCTTCCTCACCATCCGGGATGAAATGCTTCGCATGGGAGTGTAATTGGCAGCTGGGTTATCCCCGGATTGCCCGTGGTTTTGTTAAAATGTCAATTAATCCAAATTTGCCATAAAAATGGACCAGTCGGGTTTGTGCGCCAGACATGTAATTAGCTTATTAATACGCTAATGGAGTGTTTTTCTTCTGTGATGTATAAAGAACAATTGGAGTCAAAGGTTACAACACGGATTGCTGGTTTGCAGTTGATAAAGCAGATTTTTTAAATGAGTGTGCGCATGTGTTTATGAAATGCAGACCCCCAAAGCAAAAGGTCTGCTTTTTTCTTTAATTTGGCATAAGGCTGTTGGAGAATGGCTGTGATGATTTAGGTCGGCTCGACATGGAGGAGGTGCTGTTTATATCCAACCTGATTGTTGTTGTGTTCATCCTTCTCAAAAGTAGTCAGTAATTTAGGTGCCTCTACAGATTGATAAATGGTTAATTTCAAGAAACTCTGTTTTTTTTTCATTGCATTCATTGCGTACTCCTTTGGTTTTAAACAGGTCCATATCATTTGAGCAGATGTTTGCTCTTTGGCCGTAATGATTGTTGGTGGTTGTGCTTCGTCCGTTGGTGCTCCCCGTGTGTTCTTTGCATTCTCTGTGGTTCCCAGAAGCTCTGCAGCACCCTGCTTTAGGCACAGTTTTGTTCGCCCAACCAAGGTGCCATAAGTCTGCTGGCAGGGGGATTAATGTCGAATGTGAGGTTGTGTGATTTCTCCTTAAAATAAAATGTCTTAAATGGGCAAAGTCTCACACATTGGGCCCGGATGCCCGGCTTACTGACACAGTGCCTGATCCTTCAGTTGTATGACTCAGCAGTGCTCATTACAAAGAGCCAGAGAACCGTTTGTGTTCCTTAGCAGGATGCCGGGAAGGGATGGGAATAAAGGGTTGTTTGAATGCAGCCCAAGCCGAAGCGCGTGCCTTTTTGGGAAGATTCGCTCAGCTGTGTCCTACAGCGTGCTGTAAAACCCTCGCTTTGTTTATAGCTGGGCTATTGATCTTGATATCTCTCTCTGTCTACCCCCCCCCCCCCCCACGCCTCTACCTTTCCCTCCCCTTATTGCCTCAGGCTATCTTATTTCTCCTTGGCGATCGTGCTTATTGGGCAGCCAGCCAGCGGGGTAAGCCCTTGGGTGGCCTTGCCTCTTTGACAGCAGAGACGTGACCTTCACATATGTAAATTAGCCATGTGTGGGCCTTTGAATGGAAGCATGGGCTCTGTGGGTGGGGGGTGAGGGGAGGGGCGGGAGCAGGCAGGGATTCCCCTCTACATCCCTAGTCTAGTTCTCTGGATGTCCCTGAGTGGTTCCCTTTCTTGGGGTTGAATGCAGGATTTAAGATCAGTCATTGATCATTATTTTTCAATTTTCTGTTCAATAGGTAAATGCAGCTATTTTATATTTGTTAAAATAAGTTTTGGTGTAGCCCGTGTGGATCATCTACTACTGTCACTTCAAGCTTAGCAAATGGCTCCTTTTGCTGGCGTCAAATAAAATCACTGACCAGCTTTTCCATATGCAAGTCCGGTCGCGGTGGGTGACCTTTAAGGCCGTGCAGCCTGCTGGCTGTTTGCAGCACTGGTCATACCCGCCCGCTGCTGTCAGTCGGCCTGTACACTTTGTGCCCCTTCGTGAACATTCCCTCCCACCCCCCGCTGGACACAGTAACATCAGCCCCGTGTCAGGGGGTGTCCCGATCACCGCTCCCCAGCTTGCGTTACCATAATCAATAGACGGGCCAGTACAGACATATTCTGCCTTGCGGTGACAATCACGCATCTGTAGCCATTGTGGCTTTTGGTACGATAACCTCCTCGCCGTTAAAACTGTCAGAATGGCTTTTAAAATTTCATTAGAG